CTTATTTAAGAAATTATTAATATATATTAATTAATAAAAAATAATTTATGAGCGATTTTTTTCCTTTAAAAATATTAACTTTAAATACATTGTGATTATATGAATATTATTTAATTATTAAATAATGAATGACCTCTATACATTGTACAATATACATAAATGTATAGATATTCACAAAAATTTTTGTACATGGATATGGTTATGTTATTAAATTATTATTTTAATCAATGTAATTTATTTAAATTATAACTATATCATATTTTTTAATTGTATTTTTTAATTACACCAAATGATTGTCATTACCAATATTTTTTAAGGTAAATAGTCAATGAAATTTATTTTAATGATTGTATTTTTTTTTTCCAATGATTCCTTCAATTAGTATAAAGTGCCCTATTTTAATAGAGCAACTTAAGCATTGACAATAATCACATTGAGAATTGCGGTTGATACATCTCTTAATCTATCGCAGGTTTAGGGTTTACACAAACCGTCACATACGGAAACCAATACATCTGTTTGGATTGTCTGCAAAAACAGGCCTTTTTGATTGCAGGTTAGTATAATTTTGCTTAACAAGTTTGCGAACTTGTGAGTTACACATTGATGCTCTTCATATATATAATATTGGTTATTTGGATAGTGAGTTGGGTTTAGAGTTTACTGAAGAAGGTTTGTATGTTATATTTAAGTTAGATATTTTATACATTCAAATGAACAAATTATGGATTCGTTAGCTTGGTAGATCTTTTTTACACCTTTTCATTTGCAAACGTGAATAGAAATTTCTCTTGATTGTCATATTATGTGAAACTTAGGGTTATAAAATGACACGAGATCGATCTTGGATGTATAATCGACTAACTTCTGATGGTTAAAGGGAAGCATGCAAAACCGAGACCTAGAGCGACAAATGCCTCTAGAATTATGTCGTTGCCTACAAATGCCCCTATGTTTGCTGATCCATCCATGCAACCACAGATGCAATAGGCCAATGATGTACCCTCTGAGCCACCTTCTTTGTTGGCGGTATCTACAGAGCAAGTAAATAATGAGACATTTACTCCCAATTCTTCTAGATCCACATCTATTGATATA